AGCGGCAAGAGTACAAGCCTTCTCGCTTTGAAATCAAAAGCCCAAACCCCTTATCGGCATAGAGAAGATGCAAATATCTGGGAATTTACAAGTGAAATGTTGAGAGCTGAGTGATTCGAAGGTCACCTAAGAACAACGCGATAAACGGGATTAAGCTTCTCACGCCTTGCATTTCTTTCACTCAGAAACGTCCAACCCAGCACAGCGATGGCCGGTTTCAAGCATCGGACTATCGAAAGCACATTCACAGAGGATTCTCCGACAGTCGACTAGACATGTCTCCACTGTCCCATCCAGTTAAAGAAAACGAAACCCAGGGTCACTCCACCCTGATCTTAAAATCGACTAAAATAGCCGAGGTATAATTACCCGAGTGTTAGTCGACTAGAAGTCCGAGTAAAGGGAAGGACTCATTGAAAGGACAAAGCTCGTATGATGATCGCTATCATCCATGCTGAGTAGCGATGGATCAATGACTTCAGTTCCCCATAACGATGGACAGGCTTCACAATGCCATTGAACAGAATTCAACAACCAGTTTTCTATTACATACGGCTAAGTGAATACAACCACTATTCGTAATCCGCTGATAATCTCACAAGTACCGCAGACATTAATCGAGGCTGACCAAAACAGAGAAACGGAACATATCCAAATAAGTTAGTTTATTTAATAAATCCGATGGCTGTGACCCATAGTGCTCTTGATGTAAAGAGCTCGGACATTCTGCCAATTTTTCTTCAACAGAGAGATAAGGAAATTTATTGCCAAACTGATGTTCTGTACGAGTTCTTCCGGCGTCATATTTACGTTCCCAATAGCAACCGAGAGGCATAAAACCTTCTTTAGCTGAAATTTAATGGTTGCCTTGACGTCATCAACTTTGCTGACCAAATCCTCGCTGTGCGAGACGACAGTAGGGAATTTTCCGGCCTTGCTCAAGCCCGGGCCGAGCAACTTGGGGATTTGACGGATCACCGACTCACTGGCAACAAAAGCGTCATACTTCTTTGCTGAAAGCATTAAATGTTAATAAACAAACAGTTTACCAAGTTTTTTTATAAGTTTTTTGTCCTTGTTGAGTTTTTTAAGGTCCTCGACGTCCATG